CCGCAGGTCTGGTCCATGCTCGACCCGAAGCGAGTGATGTTCGACCTAGCGGACCGGGACATCGAGGAGATCAAAATCTCGCCGGGCATCATGCTGCTGGTGCTCAAGCGCGGCGGGGGCGACCTCGGCGCCCACCAGCCCCTGCGCATCCTCTCCATCGAGACGGGGGAGGCGCGACCGCCCTAGCGCCCAGATTGCACTCGCGCACCCCCTCTCCCCCCCCGGCGCCCGCTCCTTTGACCACGCCTCGGCACCTCGCTTACGGGCTCCCGACCCCTCCCCCCGCGCGAACCCATCGCCCCCGCCCCCACACCGCCCGCAGGTGCTGCGAGACTTCAAACAGCTGGTGAAGCGAGGTGTCAAGATCGTCGTCATCGAGCAGTTCAACCAAAAGCTGCTGCTGCAGCAGGCGCACGCGAGCCTCTGCGCGCCGCCCGACCCGCGGGACACGTCCACGACACGTCCTGCGACGCGCCGCAGGAGGGGGAGCCGCTGCTCATCATCGACCTGCTGTCGAACGAGACCGTCACCGTGCCGCAGGAGCGCTTCCAGACGCCGTTCGCCTTCATCTTTTTGTACGAGCACCAGTGCTTCCTCTCCTTTCGCGACTCTGAGGTGCTGCTCTGGAACTTCCGTGGCGAGAAGGTGACGACGTTCGCGGACCACAAGCTGTGGTTCCCCGCCGCGGTGCACGACCACACCTCCATCATCTTCATCACGCAGACGCAGGACGTCATCATCTCCCTCTGCAACAACGGCCTGCTGCCAAACGGGATACACGACGTCAAGATCCACGTCTCTCACATCTCGACCGGCGCGCTCCACCGCGCCGCTCGGCGCGGGTGGGAGCGGAGGGCAGAGCTGTGGGCCCCTCCTCTGTAGGCGAGTGCCTCGCCAAGGTGAACTGGCACGACCGCAATAACCAGTGCGTCACCGCGATCAGCTACAACGAGGTGCGCGGCGAGCTGGTGGTCGGCGACGAGATCGGCTGCATATGGATCTGGTCAGCATGAGACGGGAGGGGCCGGGGTGGCGGGCGTCGGTACGCCGAGTACAGTGTGGTAGCATGGATGTCGCAGCCGGCGAGGCCAAGCGTTCGGCTGGGAGAGACCGGGGCCCGGTTTTGTATTTTGGGCTCGGGGTGTGTGTGTCGTCTGTGTATCTTTATCTCTCTTCCGTGTGATTCGCTGAGACTGTGCGCTGCGTGTGGTCAGTTTATATGGCACCGGCCCCCTGTGTTTTCGTGTTTCTGCTATACTGAATTTTTACTACTGAAAGAAAAGAAAATTTCGCGCCCGGTGACAACACCACACGGTGGTCGGTGAGAAACTGAGATTATGTGAGATGTGACATCCACAGAGAGTTAAAGACAGACGTGTCGGAGTTTTGTGTGTGCTGAGTGCGGCTGTGTAGAGTGTACTGGTCTACTGTGTCGACACACGGTACGGCTCTAGCCTCTACCCGGCCGATGACCGGATGAGGTTGAGGATGTGACTTGGTGACAAGACACACTGACCCAGCTGACAACATGACACTAGGACCCCTCGCGGGTACCGCGGGCGGCAGCGTCGTCGGCGGCGTAGGGAATTGCTCGCCGGGGTGATCGAGGTGGAAGTGACGGTGAGGGCGACGAGGGATTTCCCAACGGGCAGCGCGAGCAGCGGAGGCTCGTAGGACCGTAGCCTTCGAGTGACCTGCAAGTGAGTTGCGTCCGAGCACTTCCGTAGAGGATGTCGCGGCAGTTGAGATCTGGACAAACCATGAGGTTCGCCTCATCGTTCCGATAGGACCCTTGATTGTAATCAGGATCCCACCTGTAGATTAAGTCGTGGCACGCATTTCTCGACGTCGCTCGGGCACACTCGCACGGCGGCGGCAATGGTGGAAGAGGTGGAACAGGTGGCGGCAGCGCCGCCGGGCACCTTATACACCGGAGAGAAGCAGAGCCGTAGCCTCGATCACTGCACGTTAACCGACTCCCGTCCGAGCCGTAGATTGGGCGACAGATGTAATCCTGGCAAATCATGATGTTGTTCGCTCTATTTAGGTACGCTCCATCATTGTACTCAAAAAGCAAGTCGTGGCAGCTTCGCACCAAGGACCTCGACTCGGCGCAAGGACAAGTCTCAGGTGACTCTGGCGGGGGGGCCAACCTTCCCCGCTCTGGTGACGACGGAATGGGCGCTGGCGGTGGGGAGGAGGGGGTTGACGGTAGTGGCGGCGGCGATGGCGGCGGCGGCAATGGCGAGGCACTTGGGGGCGACGGTGAAGGTGACGGTGAAGGTGACGGCGGTGGCAGCGGCAATGGCGGCGGCGGCGGCGGCGGCGGCTGTGGTGGCGGTGGGGATGGCTTTGGCGACGGAGGTGGTGGCGGCTTTGGGGATGGCGGCGGCGGCGGCGGCGGCGGCGGCGGTGGCAATGGCGAGGCGCTTGGGGGCGGCGACGGTGAAGTTGACGGCGGTGGCAGCGGCGATGGCGGCGGCGGCGGCGGCGGCGGCTGTGGTGGCGGCGGGGATGGCTGTGGCAATGGAGGTGGCGGCGGCAGTGGGGATGGCGGCGGCAGCGGCGGCGGCGGCGGCTGTGGTGGCGGCGAGGATGGCTGTGGCGATGGAGGTGGCGGTGGAGGTGGCGGTGGAGGTGATGGTGGCGGCAGTGGCGGTGGCGGCGGTGGTGGTGGCGGTGGTGGCAATGGCGAGGCGCTTGGGGGCGGCGATGGTGATGGTGACGGCGGTGGCAGCGGCGATGGCGGTGGCGGCGATGGCGGCGGCTTTGGCGGTGGTGAAGATGGCGGAGGAGCTGGGGACGGCGGCGGCAGTGGCGAGTCGCTTGGGGGTGGGGACGGTGTAGGTGATGGCGGCGGTGGCGGCGGTGGCGATGGTTGCGGCGATGGTGGTGGCGGTGGCAGTGGTGAGGGACTCGGAGGGGCTGATGGTGCTGAGGACGGTGGCGGTGGCGGCGATGGAGGCGGCGGTGGCGAAGGCGGCGGCGGCGGCGGCGGTGTCAGCGGCGGTGTCAGCGGCGGTGATCGTGGCGGTGGAAGCGGTGGAGGCGGTGGAGGCGGTGGAGGTGATGGAGGCGGTGGCGGCGGTGGTGGTGGCGGTGGTGGCAATGGCGAGGCGCTTGGGGGCGGCGACGGTGATGGTGACGGCGGCGGCGGCGGTGGTAGCGGCGGCGGCGGCGGTGGCGGCGGCGGCGGCGGCGGTGGCGAAGATGGCGGAGGAGCCGGGGACGGCGGCGGCAGTGGCGAGTCGCTTGGGGGTGGGGACGGTGTAGGTGATGGCGGCGGCGGCGGCGGTGGCGATGGTTGCGGCGATGGTGGTGGCGGTGGCAGCGGTGAGGGGCTCGGAGGGGCTGATGGTGCTGAGGACGGTGGCGGTGGCGGCGACGGAGGCGTCGGCGTTGGAGGTGGCGATGAAGATGGCCGCGGCGGTGACAGTGGAGGCGGCGGCTGCGGCGGCTGTGGCGGTGGCGGTGGCGGCAACGGTGGCGGTGCTTGCGGAGGCAGCGGTGATGGTGTCGTCGTCGTCGTCGGCGTCGGCGGCGGCGGCGGCGGCAGTGGCGAGATCATCTGTGGGGTTGATGGTAAGGATGGTGGTGGCGCCGGCGACGACGATGGCGGTGATGGTGGAAGTGGCGGCGGCAAATGCGGCGAAGGTTCTGCTGATGGCGTTGACGACGGTAGTGACTGTGGAGGCGGCGGCGGCGGCGGCGATCTAGGCGATTGTGGTGACGGGCCTGGTGGTGCGACGAGAACAATAACTGTGGTGGGTGGCACATCGAACCCGACCGTAGTTCCCAGCTCCTCGCTCATGCTGGCTAGGAAGCTAGGTTGCAAGGCAGAGGCCGTGATATCATCGGCGGACGGGCCTACTGCGGCCTGAACGATCGTCACCAGCACTGTATTGTCGCCAAGGTCTTCCAGAGTGATCTGTTCGGCCGTTATATTGGCACCCGAGCCGGCAAAGGACGCGATCAACGCAGCCTCGATGGCATCCAACCCGATTGCGTCGAGTGCACGCCGCCGAAGCCTGCCGCCGCCAACGTCGAGCGAGAACGAGGTGGCGGCGACTTGGACTGCTCCCGGCGACAAAGGCGGTGGAGATGAGGGCGGGGGGCAGGGCGCCTCCTCCGAGAGGAACCGCCCCGCTACTCCCGCCGACGACCCTCGCTCGCCCAACATTGTCGATGCCTCAGAGGCGTCCAATACCGAGGACCCAGCCCCTTTATCGGGGCCGTCAGAAACGCCGCTGAAGCGCGAGAAGGCGAACTCAGTCGCGTACGGCGAAGCCATTTCGTACATTGTTGCATTGCCCTCGATCGCGCCCTCTGCCATGGCACTGGTGATGAACTCGCCGTCCTGTGGGTAGCTATCGACGTGGCCGTGCCTCGGCTCGTTGGACGAGAAGCTCTGGCCAATGATGCCATGCGGCATGACACGGGCGGCACTGCCACGAGCATGGAAACGGAAACTCACATCAATGCGGTGCCTAGGTCCTGAGACCCAGTCATAGACGTGGTTGCCCCGCACAGTGATGACCCAGCTGCGCCAGGAGAATTGAGCGCTAGAGAAGCTCATCTTGATAACCAGGTCGAAACACCGCTTGAAGCCTCCTCTGCCGAACTTGAAGCGGCGCTTCCCGCAGGATCCATTGATAACCTGCCAGCCCCAGTTGCCTTCGTTGAGCTCTCGAGCGAAGAAAGAGCTCTCGAGGAGCGTCCTACCCATACGCGCAGTCACGTGTGCTTCCGTAATGAACGAGCCGTGCACAGTCAGCCTGCCTTCTCGCAAAGAGAAGACAGCATCCTCTGTTTTGACGTTGACCGAGAGACCAGGCGCGGAGAGAAAATTGTAAAGAGTACCTATGTCAGAAAGTCAGTCATGTGACCAGCCGAAGCGCTCGTGTCTATTCAGTTGTTTCTCCTCACCGTTGCGTCCACGGAAGTCGGCTCGTCCGCCGTGCGCAAAGGACAGATGCGGGTCACGGAATACTCTCGACGAAAGTGGACACTGTGTGACGAGCGGCAACAAGAGGTGAAACATCCCCTGTCTGTGTTGCGTTGCTGGCGTGCCTGTGTGTTTGTGTGCGCGTGCGGATGTGCGTGCGTACAGGTCGCAGCTGTGATCGATCAAGTGCGCCCAAAACGGCGCGTTGACCCCGGGGGCGAGTAAACAATTTGCATAAACTTACCAGGAAGCTTTCCAAAGACTTCTCAAGCCCCTCTCACAGCAGACTGGCTCGGAATGGAACAACAAATGGCAGCGTTTCGAAACGAAAGAAACAAGCCGGCTCCCGTTTATCCTTCGCTCTGGATTGCCATAATGGACCCAACACTGAAGAAACCATCTGCTGCGAGAGCTCTACTTCCATGTCGGCACCGATGCCGATCCTCGACGACGCCGGTTTTGGCGACATCGACGCCCTCCGACTGAAACTCCAGGGGATGCTGCGATCCGCGGCGTCGGTCGTCAACAGCGACGCTGCTCAGTGCTCTCCCGAGAAGTGCTCGCCCGACATGCCGCCAGCAGCAGCGTCGACCAGCACGTTTGAGAGCTGTGGGCTCACGCTGCGCAGCCAGCTGGTTATGGGAGGCGCGCGGGTCTGGCCGGCGGCGGTCGCTCTCGCGGAACTCCTGCGCGAGAGGCCGAGCCTCTGTCGCGGCGCGAGGGTGATTGAGCTCGGGGCGGGAGCTGGCGCTCCCGGCCTCGTGTGCGCAGACCTTGGCGCGTCCTTTGTCCTCCTCACCGACGGCGACGCTGACCTCTTGCCTCTTCTCGCGGCTAACGCCGCGAGAAACGGCTTTGCTGCCGTCACGAGATGTGCCTGCTTCGACTGGCGCGACGCGCGGCAGTTGGCACGGATCGCCGGCGGAGAGACGGAGGACGCGACTTCCGACGCGGCGGACGGGACCGGGTCGGCAGGCTGCCTCGAGCGAGGGCGAGCCGCCGCGTCCTTCGCCTTCGCGCCGCTCGTTGGTCCGGCAGGATTGGGCGAGGAGAGCAGCGAAGGAGGCGCGGGAGCAGGCGACTTTGACCTCGTGCTCGCCGCAGACGTCACCTTCTCGTTTGGCGACGTGCGGCCTCTCGCGCGAGCCGCGGCGTCGCTGCTCCGTCGGGCGGAGGGAAGTGGCGACAGGAGCGTGGCTTGAGGCCCCGGCGTGGCTACCCGCCCGCCTCTCACGCGTGGCAATGTCCCGCCCCTACCACGCAGGAGGCTGCTGCTCGCGCGCTCCGGCCTGTTCGAAGAGCTCGAGCCGACGCTCCTCGCGGCGATGCAAGAGGAGGGGCTCGAGCTGCTCTCGCGGAGAGAGGGGAGCCAGGCCAACGCGACGGCGAGACCCGGATGGAGCAACCTGTCGCCCGCTGGGAAATGTTGCACCGACGGCTTGGTGCCGATGATAGGTGCTCGAGCTTGGCTGGCGATAGCTACGTGAAGTACTGCGACCTGGGCGACTCAATCACAACGGTGCTATCGCGCGGCGGTGTCCTGGACCTCTGGCATCCCTATGCGATGCGCATTCTCAATCTGCTGCAGCGCGGGTTTGCCCCGACGGCCCACGACCGGTCGGTCGGCGTCTGGTGACTGGTCCCCCGGCGTTTGTCTCGAGTTTTTTTGCGATTCGGTGTGGCAGCGGCAAGCGGCATGTGAGTTTTTTACGTACGGCTCGTACCGTCGGTACCACATGGACATGGCCGGTACGCCGCGCGGGGGGCCATGTGGTAGAGATATAGCTGGTAGCTGGTAGAGGTAGTGACCCCTAGTGAGTAGTGTTCGCTGTTCGCTCGTACCCGATAGTGACACGTACATGTAACGGACTATTCGATGCGGAAGCAGTCGGCTTAGGCGAACAGGCGAGGTACTTGGTGAGGTGCCATACAGAGAGAATTATCGACCGGAAGGTCTCTGCAGTCTGGAGCCGCGTGCACCGCGTTCACACAACTTAGAACTCGAGGCGGGCTACCCCCTCCTATTCCTGTTCGAGCTCAGCAAAAATCATGGGGTCTTCCCTCGCGAGCTGCTCCTGGTAAAACTCGCCCGTCTCGAACGGCACCACTATCAGCAGCGACTTGCCTGCGAGGGTGATGGAAGGCGTTGGGTCTCCACCGGGCGGGCAGGACTGGCGCTCGGCTGGCGGCTCGCACCCGTCTTCTGCGCCTCGAGGTACTTCTCCTTCGCCTCCCCCTTGAGGTCGGGGATGACGCGCACCAGCGCCTCGCACACCTGCAGTCACAGCAGGGCAGACGTGGCTCGTGAGCTGGCGGCGCTTGCCGGTGCTGGGGCACCGGCCACGAGCTCGCGCACCGGCTCCTCCTCGTAATCCTCGTCGCCGAGGAGGATCACCTTGTGCATCGGCACCTCCTCCGTGTTTTTCATGAGCTTGGGCTTGGCCACGATAGCTGCCGGCCCGGACCCGCCCTTGCCGCTCCCGCCGCCGTCCGTCACCTGTCGTGTCTTGGTCTTGGCGGGAGCGGGCGCCAGCTGCATCGTCGCGGCGGCAGCGCGCTGCGCGCCGCAAAGCGGCGCCACGCCTACCCGGAGCGCATCCACGCCCGAGAGCAGCAGCACGAGCGCTGTCCAGATCGTGCCTCTCATGGATGCCTAAGCGTGAATTCACTAGCTAGGCTCGCAATAATCGCCTTTTTAGCCCGATCTTACAGCTTATTCGAATGTCTTCTTACGTTGCTTCGTGAGCGATTCAGCCGTCATTTACCCTCCTTTCACCCGCCCTTCACCCGCTCTTCCCCCGCCTTTCAGCCATTTACACAACATTGAACCGCGTTTCACAAACAAACATGTTTCCCGCTCTTCGGCGACACGCTTTGCCTTGAAGTTACCGCACCTACGCTAAATTCAAGCCCCTTCAAGCCAATTTAGCCTCTCTCCCTCAAGGCCCTCCAATTTATGGGCAGGCAGGAACACTGGTCACTGCGGCTGCTGCTAACTAAGTAAGCACCCGCACCGCCCAGTGAGATGTGTCGCGGGCTAGGATAAGGACCATGATCTGTCTTCCACAGATCCCACATTTCATGATGAGGGAATCAATGCCGATGAGCAAGGGCTCAGTCCCGGCCATGTGTCCCTCGCCCCGCGCGCCTTGGCACGAAACGCAACCAAAACAAACACTCGAAACACGGAAGAAGAATTCAACGCTGGCACAATTCATGGGAGGGAGTGTTGTTGTCGTGCATAGTAGGAAGCAAGACGTGCTCTCTCTCGACAGCTAAGGGCTAAGTAAGACGCGCTCATTGTTGCAATGTCATTGTACATTGAAACAAATCTTCAACCCGCGTTGTATTCATGGTTAGGCACCCTTGCTCATGATCGTGTCTTTTTAGTCGACATGAAAGAAAACGCGTCTAGTCCATTCTTTCTGTCTGCCCTCCCCCTGCGCCGGCGCCGGAAGAATTCGAATAACCAAAAGAAAAAGAAAAGAAACACCGCAAAAGAATCTCGCGATACATACAGTGGGTTGCGGATTTCGCGGCACGCCGCCCTTTCCATAAGCTTTTTCCACACCCCTCACCCACCCCACGCCGTGGTTTCTGAACTCCCACCCAAGCAAGGTAGGTCAGAGCTAGTCGTCTAGCCTTGTAGTCGTTGGGCAGCCGCAGTGGAGAATGCTGCCTATTGTGCATGTCGCAATCAAGTCGCACCTCTCTTCTTCAGCGAATGCAGCGGCAGCACCACGTCAGAGGCCGGGCCAACTCCCCACCCGCTTGGATCGATCAGCTGACAGCTCCACCAGCTCCACCACCGCGTGTCGTGTCACGAAGCATGAGATAGACATAGAAAGCATGAACCATCGAAAGGTCTGGTCTCCAAAAAGAACTCTCGGCGACCGCCGCGCGCGCCCCGCCCCTTTTGCGCAGCAACACCTTAATAAATTTCATGGCCCTCCAAATTCGGGTCGGAGCGTATAGCGAAGTGGGACCCGAGTTTGAAAAAGGCGACGGACGCTTGCGTCCTAGCCTCCAACAACGCCTCCCCGGCGCAGAGGGGCCCCGCGGAGGGATGCTCAACCGCTCCACTCCACGCCGCTTGCGGCGGTCCTATTCCCAGCTCGAGGGGCCAGTTCTTATCTTTCTACGATTGTGTTGCCGACGTGGATGATCACAACGTGGTGACAAAGACCGTCATGGGACGATGGGAGCGCGTGTGCGGCAGCAGGCGGGGGTGCCACACGGAGCGCACCACGAGAGGATTATGCGGGGAGAGGCGGGGAGAGAGACCCCGGGCGCCGCCACAAGGAGCGAACTCAGGGGCTGCCTCGTCTGTAAGGCCGTGAGGGACGCGGCGAGGAGGGCGGCACTAAAGCGAGACCCGCTGTGTCCGACCGTGCGGAAAGCCGCGCAGAAATGGACCGAGGAAGATGAGAACCCGCCTAGAGCGACGATGGCGCACTTGCTTAGCGGCGCCTGCCTGGGGAATAGGGAGCAGGCCAGATGGTTCCTCAGAGTAGCGCGAGCGCAGACGGGGACGGCGATCAGCAAAGTAGCCCAGGCGGCACCCGACTCCAAGGATACGCTGAAGACGCTGAGGATAGCGCATGTCGCTGCGCTGAAGGGCTCACGCTATAGGGTGCTGGATGAGGACGGGTACGATGCACTAGCCCCAGCCGTCGGGGGGGTGTTGCCGGCGCTGGTAGATGATCTCTCGGAGAAGAGCCGGAGGGACCTTTTGGCGCCGGGGTCACGAGGAACTTGCAAGTCGTGGCGGAGGCGGCGACGGGAGCGGTGCAGAGGTGGATCCAGCTCAATGATGAGGCTACGGCGCGCATAATGAAGAGAGAGGAACACATCGAGTGGCTGAGGAAGCTCTTCACTGGGTGGAAAGAGGCTCGGCCGGCCTTGAGGGAGTCGCGGAGGAGGAGGGATAACGCAGGCAACGCAGGGACGGGCCAGCAGCCAGTGGGACGAACGAGGGCCGCGACGGCGGCTCAAGCGGGAGGGAGCGGAGACGGTGGGCAGCGAGCAAAGTGGGTGAGACTGATGATGCTCCTTCGACTTAGGGAGAGCGGTTCAGCTGCTGGGCGGGCTTCAGGCTGGTGCTCACACGAAAAGGAATCGACGCGATGTACAAAGCATACAAGAAGGGGAGAAGGAAGAGGAGAGACGCCGGTGGTGACGAAGCAGAAATTAGCGCAGACGAGAGCAGGGCAGACCCGGGGACTGGGGAGCCGGAGCAGACGGCATCGGCCGCCGAGGGAACGTTGGGAAGAGGCACGAGGAGGGCGGCGACCTCAACCGACTATGGAGGACCCGTCGCCAGACGACGCAGGGCAGACGATGTGGAGGCGGAGCAGACGCGCAGGGCGAGACGAGGGAGGGAGCAGGACTTTGCGGAGATCAGCAGGAGGATGTACGAAGAGATTAGGAGCAGCACGCAGCAAGGACCCGTCGAGGGACCATGTGGAAGACGGCTAGTGCTAGTCCCCCATCGGGAGGACGACCCCGGCTAGTCGCCGACCACACCCACAAAGAACCCTGCACAAAGATCGCACGGGCGGGGACCTGTTCCTTTTTACCCATCTCACAGTAGAGAGGTGTCCGTTTTTATTTATTTATTTATTTAGAGCGCTATAGATGGCAAAATTTTTCTTCGCCTCCGGCGGGGCCGCTCGCCGCGGGGCTAGAGAGTGACTTTAGTCGATGTCGGCTAGAAGTGCTGCACGTTTTTCAGAATTTCACCCTTGGAACATAGCGTACCAATAGCTATCGTTCGGATCTACACCATCCAGCATTGATGAATCAACGAACAGCTGGCAGACGAACCGGCCCTCATTCACGTTGACAAAGTTGGACGTAGCCGCCGAGACGTAGCCAGAGTAATGGACGCAGGGATGCCCCTCCCACGCCGTCTCGCCGTCCGTGCAGTGGCGGTGCTCCTCCACCTTGAAGACCGAGATGCCCCACGCCTGATCGCCCTGCTCCGGGCTGGACGTCGACGTCGGCTCGAGCAGCGCGATGTTCTTGTGGTCCCACGCGCTCGAGACCAGCGCGTCGGCCTCTGCCGCGTCGCCCTCGATGGTCTTCGCGAGGTGGTGAGGGAAATCGGTGAACTTGACCGCCGTCTGCGGGTAGTAGTTGAAGGCGATGTCGGCGACAAAGTGCCCGCCCATGTCGCCCGGCGTCTCGCTGCCGTCGACGTCGCGCACCTTCATCACGACGTTGAGGTTCGAGCAGAAGCCGGTGGTGGCGATGAGCCAGGCGGGGTCGTCGACCACGTCGGGCACGGGAGGAGAGGGCTTGGTCGCAAAGGCGAGGCCGCGAGCTGTTGGGTTGACGGCTTCCGCCTGCGCACGCCGCGAGCTCAGCCTGCCTGTGTGGGTAAATGTGGCGGGGCGGAGCTTGTTACCGGCAAAGCAGACGCCGATAGCGCGGTCACGAGCAGAAGGGAGGCAATCTTCACCATCCAGTCCCCAATAGGTTTACCCCGCGGCCAAAAACGCGTGCCGTTCCTTTGTAAAAGCGGGAAAATCTGTAGGCCCCTAAGGCCTACGCTCTCTCTTCTCTCTCTCTTCTCCCAGTACAGCTAAAAGTACATACACACATACAAAGAGTAATTTAACAAGTCTCTCTCAAGAGAGGCTCTTTTTGAATGTAGAGTATGTTGTTGGCAAAACAAGACACAGAGCTCACACAGAATCACAGCGGGAGGAAAGCGGCGAGTCGCAATTCCTGGGGTCCTTGTGGCGGGCCACCCTGTCCAGAGAGAGAGGCATGGATGCCAATCTGGGGTCTTTCGACCGAGTCTGATTTCGCCTCGCCGCCTCCCGATGGTGGTAAGGCTGGAGAGCCAAACTTCGCCCCAACTGCGAAACGATTGCGATTGCAGAGAGGTTTTTGTTTTGCGATTGGCGTTGGCCTGAATGAAGGACTTGCCCCGTTGCTGAATCTCGATGCACACCTTTCGCTGCGAAATTGGGAGCTCAAACCTATCATCATGGTTGCAACTGAAAAAGACCTGAGCCCTCCCCCTACTCTAATTTGTGTCGAGCCTGTCTGCTGTGACACTCAGTTGTTTTGTTTACATTTACAAATGTAATTTGTGTTTCGGAAACGGCACGCCGCCGGATTTGCCGCGAGCCGACCTGCCTTTGCGCACACATGGATGCGGCTGGTACTGAACTCGGAGAAGATCTCGTCGACGCGATCTGCCGAGGCGACGAGGGAGCCGTGCGGGCGTGGCTCGACGACAACGGCCGTGTCAACTCGACGTTGGGCGGTGGAACCGCGCTGATGTTCGCAGCCTCCCACGGCCACGAGCGGCTGGTCAATATCCTGGTGCAAGCTGGCGCAAATATCACCCATCAGGACACCGATGGCGACACCGCGCTGATGTCTGCCGCCGACAACGGCCACGAGAAGGTGGCCGACCTGCTGATTCGGCACGGCGCGGATGCGGACCAGCAGAATTGCTGCGGCGGCACCGCGTTGATGATCGCCGCCCAGCACAGCCATCTCGCCGTGGTGCGCCGGTTGCTGCAGGCGGGGGCAGACACGCAGAAACTCGACTCGGAGGGTAGGTCTGTGATGCAACTGGCCGCGGGGCCAACGCTGACGGCGGTGATGGAGGCAGAGACAGACGCCCGGCTGGCCGAGTTGGAGACGCTAGAAGCCACGTGCTCTAGCAGCGAAGCTTCATGGCTAGTGGAATTGCGGGTCAAGCTCGCGCATATGAGAGAGAGACTCTCTTCGCATATGAAGCTGCAGCAGGAGGAGCATACAAAGCAGATGGCTCACTTCGCGGAAAGAAAGGCTATCCTTGACGCTGAAAAGCAGCAGATGGAGAAGAAGATGGCGGACCTCAACGCGCACATTGATGTGCTAAAGGAGGCGAGCACGCCCCGTCGCAACGGCAGTGGAACTGTCGAGCGGCTCCGGCGGCGGCAGCAGCGCAACTCGCAGGCGGAGGCTGGCCACAGCTCGCCACGGGCCTCCGGCGGAGCCTCCGAGGCCGATGGCTTAGCGGCAGAGGCGGCGGCGGCGGCGGAGGCGGCGGCAGCGGCCGCCGCCGCCTCCTTGCTCGCTGAGGAGGAAGCTGCGCAGTGGATCAAGAGCAAGAAGATGCAGCGGAAGGGCAAGGTCGGCAAGAAGAAGGGTGCGAGTGGTGTCGGCAAGGGCAGCCCCAGGCCGGCGGTGCAGGAGGCGCAGGGTGCGGACGCATCTCAAGAGTGCGCGCGGCCAGAGACGGAGTCAGTGCACGGTGGCATCCCCTTCTCGCAGCTCCTCAAGCTGCTCGAGCGCGTGGCGCGGTGCGAGGAGGAGATTGGGACCGGGCCTGCCGCCGACGGGGCGGATTTGAAAAAGCGCGTCGACTCGCTGGAGGCCATCCTCGGCGTGGCGAGCGAGGGCAGCATCGTGGAGCGGCTCGGCGCCATCGAGGGCCTGATTGGGAGCGAGGCCACGCTGGAGGCAGCGCCGGTGGCAGCGGCGGCGCCAGCCGATTGGCTGGCGGTGGAGGAAGCGCGCGAGGAGGCGGAGCGGGCTGCGCGTGCCGAGGCGGCAGCAGAGGCGGCAAGGGTTCAAGCGATGGAGCGCGCCGGTGCCTGCCTAGCCGAGGAGCTGATAGCGAGGGTCGTTTCGGACGCCGCGAAAGATCTTGCGGCGGCGGCAGTGGAGCGGCGCACGTTGGCGGCGGAGGCTGCGAGGCAAGAGGTGGAAGAGGCGTCGCGACGAGAGGCCGAGGCGCAGGCGCGGCGCGAGGCGGCAGCGGAGGACAGGAAGTGGCGTGAGCTAGAGGCGACGGCCAAGGCGGAGGCGGCGGCGGCGGCGGCAGCGGCGGCGGCGGCGGCGGCTGGGCTTGTGGCGCCCGCGCTCGCGTCGGCGGTGTTGGAGGCGAGGGCGGAGGCCGAGAAGACGCGGCTAGCCGAGAGGGCGCCGCTAGCGCCCAAGACGCCCGAGCCGCGAGAGGACGAACGCGAAAAGAGGTGGGAGGCCGAGAGGGCGCGGCTAGCGGCCATCGAGGCTGCCAAGACGCCCGAAGAGAGAGCTGCAGAGTCGTCGTCGTCGTCGTCGGCGGCGGCGGCGGCGGCGGCTGGGCGTGTGGCGCCTGCGCTGGCGTCGGCGGTATTGCAAACGAGGGCGGAGGCCGGGAAGGCGCGACTAGCCACGGTGGCGGCGCTGAATGCGGTGGCGCAAGAAGCAAATGATTGGGAGGTAGCGCTGGCTCAGATGGCATTGTCGGCCTCGCGCAGACAGGCACGGACAAGCCGCACCGCCTTCGTGGCGCGTCTCATAGAGCAGCTGGACCTCTTTTCCCGCTCGTGGCTCGCTCAATCCGCCAACATGAGCGGCCCCTCTCTCTTCGTCGCTAACAACGCCTCGCTCGTTGTCCCTTTCGGCAGCTCCGCGTCGCTTCTCAGCGGCCCCGCCTCGGATGTGGACCTCGCGGTGCTCCTCGAGCTGCCGATGGAGGAGCAGCGCCGCTTCGTCGAGGCCCTCGCCCAGCAGCCCTTCGCGAGTCCCTTCAGTGCGATGGTGGCTACGCCGGTCCCGCTTGCGCGCGTCCCGATCTGCAACCTCCGCGACCCTGTGTCCGGGCTTGCTGTGGACGTGTCGGCCGGCAATGCCATCGCGATTGACAACACATTGCTGATTCGGACGTACATGGAGCTGGACGAGCAAGGCCGACAGCTCTGCGTGCTGGTAAAGGCGTGGGCAAAGGCGAGGCGGATCTCCTCGACGCGAAACAACACGCCATCGAGCTACGCGTGGGTGCGACGCCCCCGCCCCCCCGCGTGCGGCCGCCTCAAGCATCGCACTTATAGGGCTGCCACTGTCCCCGCGGTCGCCAGGTCCTGCTCGCCATCTGCCACCTGCAGAGCTGTCAGCCTCCCGTGTTGCCTTGCCTCCAGTCGCCCGAGTATGCCGCAGCCGCGGCGACGCTCGCCCGCGTCGATGGCATGGCCGGCACCTGCTGGGTCGAGAACACCACACTGACGCACGACGGGCACTGCGTAAGCTACGCCTTTTGTGGCAGCGCCGCCGCCGCACGGACCATGTGGAGGCCGGGGGCGGCGGTGACTCTCGCCGGCGGCGGAAAGAGGCTCGCCGAGCTGCTCCGCGGCTTCTTCGACACCGCCGCACAACTGGCGAACGGCGCGGCGGCCGCCCCATCGTACCTCGCCGCGTGCGCGTCCGCCGGGGGCTTCCGGCCGCTCCCCTCGTGCCGGTGCTTCGACAGCGGCCGGGCTCAGCACTTCGCGATCGAGGATCCGCTCGAGCCGCACCGCGATCTCGGCGGAATGGTCACGCCCGCCACGCTCGCCACCATGCAGGGCGAGATTGCTCGGGCGCGTGACCTCCTCGGGGCGGCGCTACCCAACGTCCGGCAGTCCAGGCCCAGGGCCAGGCCGAGTCGGCGCGAAATTGACGCGTGGCTGGATACGCTCCTTGAGCAGAGACCCTGAGACCACTGCGCATTTTGGGGGGTGGCACTGGGTTCGACGCGTCACCATGACACACGCCAGCACTGTCTCCGACGGCGCTCCGACGCGCTCGACTACAGCGGATTCACCTCCGGGGACCCGAACCCTCTCGCGCCCACCAGGGTTCGGACTTTTTGCGGGGTATGGTATGGTACGCTCACTCACGCAACCCACCTCGAGAGAGAGAGAGAGTGTGTGTGTGTGTGTGTCACACACACCACCTCGAGACCATACCCCCCCGCCTGCTGACAGACCCAGCCTCCCGGAGACCGGGGGTGGGCGGTCAGGACCATACCCCCCCACCCTTTGGGCGATAATACCATACCACACCCCGCAAAAAGTTGGAAGCCAGCCACACACAATGTCCATTGAGGTAGAGGCGAGCGACGTGGTGCGCGTGGTGCTGCAGTTCCTCTCGGAGAACAAGCTCAACGCCTCTCTCGCCGCGCTGCAGAAAGAGTCTGGCATCTCGCTCAACGCGACCGACTCTGTCGACCGGCTCACGGCGGACGTGCTGGCCGGCCGGTGGGACGCGGTGCTGACGGCGGTGGCGCCGATGTCGCTGCCGCGTGGCCTGCTCTCGGAGCTGTACGAGCAGGTTGTCGTCGAGCTGCTCGAGCTGCGCGAGCCGGACACGGCGCGGCAGATGCTGCGCGGCGCCGCGCCGCTGCTGGCGATGAAGGCGCACGAGCCGAAGCGGCATGCGCGGCTCGAGGCGCTCGCGGCGCGACCCTACTTTGAGGCGCGCGACGCATACGACGGCGGCGTGACGCGGGAGAGCCGCCGCTCCTCGATCGCCGAGGGGCTGCGCGCGGAGGTCGCGGCGGTGCCCCCCGCCCGCCTCCTCACCCTCCTCGGACAAGCGCTCAAGTGGCAGCGGCAGCAGGGCATGCTCCCGCCCGAGGGCACAAAGTTCGACGTGCTCGCGGGCGGCGCGGCGCGGCGGCTGGTCGAGCGGGAGGCGTACGTCTCCGTCGCCGGCCCCGTCATCAAGTTTGGCAAGAAGAGCCACGCGGAGTGCGCGGCCTTTTCGCCCGACGGCGCGTTCCTCGTCTCTGGCTCGATCGACGGCTTCCTGGAGGTCTGGGACTTTGAGCGCGGGAAGCTGCGGCTGGACCTGCCCTACCAGGAGAGCGACCAGCTGATGATGCACGACGCCGCCGTCCTCAGCCTCGGCTTCTCGCGCGACTCCGAGCTTCTCGCCTCCGGATCGCAAGACGGCGTGCTGAAGGTCTGGCGGCCGCGCACGGGCCAGTGCGTGCGCCGCTTCCCTAAGGCGCACGCGGGCGGCGTCACGTGCGTCGCATTCGCGCGCGACGGGCTCTCCGTCGCCACCGGCTCCTTCGACGCGCTGGTGCGCGTGCACGGCCTCAAGTCGGGCAAGTCGCTAAAGGAGGCGAGCCGAGATGCCGCCGAGATGCCATCGAGATGCCGCCGAGATGCCATCGAGATGCCGCCGAGATGCAGCCAGCCGAGATGCCGCCGAGATAAAGCCGTCTGCGAGAGTCACACATCCACGACACGTTCACGACACGTCCACGACGTGTCCAGATGCGCGGGCATACCTCTTACGTCAACGGCGTCGACTGGTGCGCGCCCCTCCCGCCTCCAGCCCCCTACATCGTGTTGCCGTCGTCACACGGCCCACAAGCGCGGCGGACTGCGGCGCCACCCCGGCCCCTCCCTCGCCACCTCGCCGCCGCCGCCCTCGCCGCCACCGCCCTCGCCGCCGCCCTCGCCGCCGCCGCCCTCGCCGCCACCGCCCTCGCCGCCACCGCCCTCGCCGCCACCGCCCTCGCCGCCACCGCCCTCGCCGCCACCGCCCTCGCCACCCTCACTCGCACGGCGGGCGCTCGTCGCATATCTCGCCATACCTCCCCACATCTCCCCACATCTCCCCACATCTCCCCACATCTCCCCACATCTCGCCAGGTCCGCCGACGGCAGCCGCCTCGCCTCGGCCTCTTCCGATGGCTCGGTGCGCGTGTGGGACGCTAAGAGCTGCGACTGCCTCCACTCGTTCCGCCCGCCCGCACCCACCGGCGAACTCGCGGCCGCCGTCCAGGCGCTCTCTCTGCGCGCTGTCTTGACGCGCCCTGCGGTGGAGCACAGGCGCCGAGCTCGCCGTCAACAGCGCCACGTTCTTGCCAAACTCGTCCGACGCGCTGCTCGTCTGCAACCGCTCTGCCGAGGCGTTTGTGACGTCGCTCTCGGGAGACATCACCACGCGCCTCGCGTCGGGCGAGCCCGCCGTCGTTTCTTTCTGGGGTCGCACGGGGGCGGAGCGCTCAGTCACGACTTCGGCTGTGAGGTAGGCAAGCGGGAGGGCGGCGACTTCATTGCTTCGATGGTGACAGCGCAGGGCGGGTGCGCGCACTCCGGTGAGCGCGCTGCCGGCCGCGCCTCTAGAGCGGAGCCTCGACCTCGTGAGCAGGTGGGTGCACGCCGTGGCTGAGGACGGCTTCCTCTACTCCTTCGACCTCGGAAAGGGCGAGCTCGGCCACTTGCTCAAGGCGCGAGCGTTGCCCGAGATGCAGCCGAGAAGCAGCCGAGATCTGGTCGAGAGAGCAACGGGCCCGGCGTGAGCCTCCCCTTGGCAAGAGAGGTTCGCCCTTCGGCCAAGGTCTGCCCGAGGCCATGTCGAGAGATGTGGCCCAGATCTAGCCGCGAGCCCACCCGAGGACTAGTCGAGAGGGCACACCGCCGCTGCCGCTGCCGCTGCCACCACCACCACACCACCACCACCACCACCAAGCCGCCGCCGCGACCGCACCGCCGCCGCCGCCGCCGCCACCACCACCACCACCACCCACCAAGCCGCCACCGCCGCTACCACACGAACCAACACCACCACACCATCACCAGACGAGCTCGCCCCCGCCGGGTCGTCCGCAGGCGCACGAAAAGGACGTGATCGGCGTGGTCTCCCATCCGCACCGCAACCTCGTCGCCACGTGGTCCGACGACGGCACTCTCCGCCTCTGGCGGGCGTCGGCCCATGGCGACTGACCCGGCCGGCGCAGCGTGGGGGGGACCGGGCCCGCCGCTTTGTCTAGGCTCTAGCCACCGCGCTCGCGATCTGCGCGGGGGCCGTACAATGCTCAGGGTATCTACGTAAGCTCTGGGAATCCACTCTGGGCCTCTGCAGATTGTTGGTGTTGCAAAACTGAGAACTGGACTCACGAAACACAGAGAGGCGAGGCCGAGGGCGATCACCGATCTCAGCTCTGACAGTCCTCGCGCACGAGTCTGTGCTCAGTCGCGCGAGACTCGCGTGCCGACACATCATGTGGACATCGCGAGGAGTCTGAGCATGGTCTTACTTGTCTCGCTTGGCGACGGCGAGGACCTTGAACAGGGATGCATGAGCAATGGTTTTAATATAGGCCCCAGCTCCACACGTGTATGCGCCCCCCACACACAAGCCATGCCCCCCCCCCCCCCTCACCATTTCTCGACATACGCACAACGGAGCTCAACGGCTCAACGCACCCTGCCAAGGTACGACGCACCCCCGCCAAGGAGGTCCCCGTTCCCCAAAGGAAGTCCTCCACCTCACGGCTTGAGGAATTTGATGGCGGCGGCCGCAGGCAGCCGCCGCCCCCGCCCCGGCACATGCGGCCATTTTGTAGAGCTGCGCGCGGTGCGCCGCTTCCTTATCGTAGAGGCAGCCTGTTGGGTGATTCACATGCCACTCGACCGCAGGCGAGACCTGGTTGTGAAGCAGGGGATGCGAGAAGGCTCCTTGACCCCTTCTCAAGGACGCTGAGGAGCGCGTCGCCCGTGGACGGATTGCTCGCGTGCATGATGTTGTGCAAGTCTGCCATGCGGATCAAGGCGAGCACCTACTGGTTGGTCAAGGGTCGAGTCTATGTGCCAAAGCAGGACGAAGGTTGCCGAGGGGCGGGGAGGAGAATGGATGTCGAGAGCGTCATTGAAGTGCCGTCGTGTCGCAGTCATTTCTCTACGTTGAGGAGCGAGGCAAAAACGCTCAAGCGAGCGCACGTCGTGGATGTGCGGGTGCGGGTCGAGCGGATCCGTAAAGAAGATCATGCCGCCCAAGTCGTCGACACGCATCAGCGCGCCCACCTCAGCGTCGCCTATGTATGAAAACGAGTGGACATCCAAGAGACATGACATGCGGGCGCCCGAATTCACACTCACAAGTGTCGCCTCCAAGGGGGCCACCATACCCCTGGCCCACGACTGGCTCGACGACCTCGTCGATGCGAAGGAGGCCCTGCGCCCCTTCTCCGTCGCCGGCTCGCGGTACAGCGGGTACAAGTGGAAGCCTCTGCACGATCACATCAAGCGCCCGCTCTTGAACCACCTCAACGGCAACTCGCGTACAATCTGTCCGCTCCTCTCCTGCGGTCGGTGCTGGACTCCTTCAACGTCAATGAGTGGGAGACGGTCCTCCACTCGTCTTTCGACGTCCAGATCGCGGAGGTGGTGTACGACATTGGTTATGGCGCGATCGATGCCGCCGAACGCCAGAGCAGGCGGAGCAAAGCGTTGACTACAAGCAAACCGCGACCATGAGCAACCACGCGGCGAGCATCGTGGTGGCGCAGGACATCTGCGAAGAGTGCCGCTTCAAGCACGGCGCGAAGTACATGCGCGACTGGTCCACGCGCTGCTGCGCCGGGGACCCATACGACACGGTCTACCCGAAGCCGTGTATCGCCGAGAGCGAGAGCGCGTCGCTCACGCTCGTCGTCACGGACTTTGGGACGGGCAGCATCGACACAACGTCATGGCCAACCTCACTCGGGCCCGTCAGGCCCTCGCCGACGCACAAACCAGCCCCGACACGTGCACTCACCTCGACGCGTGCGCCAGCTACTCGCTCCCCTTCGACGAGATCATCGTGGTCACACCGGAAGCAGAAGTCGCGGAGTACCGCGCAACATATCCGGACGCGAAGGTCACGTTCGTTGCTCGACGCCTTGAGACGGGTCGCGAGTCGCCGTGGTGGGACATCTGCACCACCAACGTCAGCACGGCGTGGTTCATGCAAGTCACCTCCTTCTTCTCCTTCGCGGAAGACTTCCGGCTCCCGGTGCACACCCGCGCCGACGGGGAGCTCGTCCCTCTGAGCCCGTACATCGAGCACGACTCGAGCTACTGCGGGCGAAAGTGTCGCCAGGAGGTCAATGAGGCGCGGCAGTTCATCCACCCGGGCGCGAATCGGCGGTACCTGCAGTCGCACGCAGTCTACAACACCGCCATTCGCGACCAGTACCGCGGCGAGCTGGCGGCGAGATCAACATGTCGGCGTCGGTGCCTGGCCCGACCAGCTACAACCCACTGTAAAGGGCCGCGTCGCCGAGGGAGTGCTGCAGCGCGAAGCCCTCTGCCCGCAAGCCGAGCTCTCCACACACGCCTTGCCCCGTCGCGTTCGCCTGTCTGCGAGAGATTATTACATGTAGAAGCCAACAAGAAATCAGCACTGACAGTGCCTTGGGCTCGGCGCTTGTCCCTTGGGTGGTCTGTTTTTTCTTTCTTTCTTTCGGCGCTTGTCGACTTCCTTCCTGTCTGTAAAGTTGCACGGCAAATGCCGTCGGCACGCTCGAGGTCAGACTCCTCCGTCCGTCGCATAGGGGGAGGATATACCTGTTTGTGTGTTTATACGCTTGTGTTGAGTTCTTTTCATTGTCGCGCCAGTCCCGTAATAAATAAATACAACGGACATCCCAAGCTAGGGGCTGGGTCGAGGACAGTCCCGTGCCCAGTGTCGTGCGCGGGAAAAATTCTTTTGGGGGGGACCGCCCTGTTGGTTGGCGAGAGCAGCGTCGTTCGCCGGTCGGGTCTCGTCGCTGCGGCTCGTCGCTGCGGCGCCGCTCGCGCCGAAAGGCCAGGCTCGGCACACATATATGCCGCGACGGGCCACTCTCCTCGGCGCCGCTCGGGTCGCCGTCGCCGCGACGCTGTTCGTCGCCGCCCTCTACAGCATCACCTCTGGCCGGCCCAGCCCACGTCCAGCTCTGACAGCCGCCAGTTCGTGGACCACACGGCCGAGGTCGGTGTTCTTTGCTCCCTCTGCTCTCCCGCCACCGCCACCACCCGCACTGCTCGGAGACGAGGTGGTCAGTCAGACTGCTCCGCTCAGCGTCGGCGATGGCCCTTCTCTGCGAGCACGGCGCCGCGAGCGGCGAAAGCTGCTGCCCGTGCGGCCGAGATCAGACCTGGTGGCGACGGCCTCGACGTCGGTGTGGCACGCTCTCGGAGACTCGCTCGCGTTTGTCCACGTGCTATGCTCGCGCTTCAGCATTGGCCAGGGCCGCCAGTCCGCGCTGGTTGCGGCGAGGCTCGCGCTCTTCGTGTCCATTTGCGCACCCTCCATCCGGGCGCAGACGGACGGCCGGTTTGTCTGGCTGCTGTACGTGGACGAGTCGCTGCTGCCCGCCGACCGGACGGCGCTGGAGGAGGCGGTGCGGGGCATCGCAGGCGCGCACATCGTCGCGCTGCCAAAGGACGGCGAGCACGCCGCTGCCTACGAGGCTCCTTGCCTCCGCCAGATCTCGCTCGCCGGCCTGCCGACTGACCCTCCCTCTGCGCTGTCGGGCGCGCACCGGCGGCTTCCCGGCGCGGACAGGAGGGAGAGGGGAGGCCAGCGAGAGTTCGAGCGCGCCTCGCCCACCGCACGTAGGCGGCGCGTCTACCTGACGTCCAGACTCGACGCCGACGACGCCCTCGACTCCAGCTTTTTCGCAGCGGTGCACGGGCGCGTCGCTTCGGCGGCGGCGGGCGGCGGCGGCGACGGCGGCGGTGCCGACGGCTTCCCGCTGTACCTCTGCCACTTGCACGCGCTGGCGTGGCTGCCGAGCACGACCGCCGGCAGTGGCGTCGTGTCGACCGAGGCCGCCTCCCCGCCTGCAGTCGACTCGTTCCCCGGCAGGAGGCTGGCTCGTCGACTTGTCTGCAGCTCGACGTCTGTAGGATGCGATCGCCTCGTGGCACTGCCTCACGCCCGGCCTCACAAAGGCAAGCTTCTCGAGGCGCGAGCCCGCGCGCCGATGCGAAAGCCCGCCTGCCGCATCCCCCCTCCCACTCGTCCCTCCCCCCTCGCCCTGCCCGCCTGCCTCCACCGCCTCCACCGCCTACCCGCCTCCCCCAGCCTCCCTCCCCGCCCCACACGCCTCCCCCGCCGCCCTCCCAGCGGCACGCCTCGCCCCCGCAGGGAGGCGCGGTCGGTGCACGCGGTCTCGCACACCGAGGTGCGCAAGGGCAGCCGCCGCGTCGCCCTCCTCGACTCTGGCGAGCGGTGGAGCGGGCCTGTGCGAGCGCGCACCGTCACCTCGGACGGGCTCAAGGGGGTGCGGTCCGCGCGAGAGACCGCGGTCGGCGGCGGAGGGGAGGGGAAGCGCGCGGGCGCGCCGGCACGCGACGCGGACGATGGCACGGTGCCGTGGGCGGCGCGCTACGGCATCTCGCCCGCGGAGCTGCGGCGAGCCAACGAGGAGCTGACCCGGCTCGAGGCGAGGGTGGCGGAGGAGCGCGTCTCGCCGGACGGCAACGACTGCGTCGCCGACTTTTCGTGCGCGCTGCACCTCGGCAAGAAGGCGCCCGCTCGCCTCGCCCGCCTGACGAAGCTGGCCAAGGGCAAGCTCAAGAAGGGCCGGTCGAGTCGGAGAGAGAGTTCTCTATCGAGTCGTCGGCCCTCGCGCCGCCGCGGCGAGCCCGGCTCCGCGCACGACTCGGCCGAGCTGCGGCGGCATAGGTCTAGAGACTGAGGAGAGACGAGAGTCGACAGTCGAGAGTCGTACAATCATCAATTTTTTGGAGCACTTGCAGCACTTGGAGCACTCGAAGTGCGAGTTGGCAGCCCTCACATCCACGGGGGCCGGGGAGAAGCGCACCCAGGTCGGATGATGTGTGGGGGCACTTGGAGCACTTGGAGTGCAATCAGTAACCTCACATCCAGGGCCGAGGAGCTCAGAAGCGCACCCAGCGGGCCGGATGATCGGTGTCGGGTTGCGGGCAAGAGAGCCCTAGCCCCGGGGGTGCGCGTTCGCAGGGCAAGGGCCTTAAAGTAAACACGGGTCTCCGAGGGTTGGTTCCGTGTACCGGGTTTCCCCTTAACTTCAGAACGCCCTTCTACGGCGCACACCGAATTCTTTTTCGAAGGCATCATGTTGTCTACTCGACGTCTTCTGCCGCTTCGCAGCAGCGCTGAAGCTGCGCGCCGCTGCTGCGCGGGTCGTTCCGGCGGGCGAGTGCTGGCGGAGCCGGGCGTGGCGGACGAAGAGGCGCAGTGGGGGCCTCGGGTCGCCATCAAGCTGCTAGTGGCTGGCTGGGTCGGCTTGAAGCTTGGCGAGTACTTTCTCTCCAAGGACGCACTGATGGTCAGCTCGACGGTGGTGCTCCTCAAGAGCGAGCACGCCGCCAACCGCGCCTCTGGCCTATATCGCATGGAGCGGTGGCACCGGTCAAGCGGCGCGCGTGAGGCGGCAGTCGAGCTCGGGTGCATCGAGCACATGCTGCGCGGTGCGCTGGCCACGGCTGCGGCTGACCCCGCCAGCTCGAACGTCGCCCTGGGCCTCCTCGTTGAGCTGGCCGGTAGCGTGGACGCTGCACCGGAGCAGATTGTGCGGCTCGGCGGGGTGACGGCGGCACAACAGGTGTGCGGCGCGATGCCAGCAGGCGGCGAGGCCACTAGCCGCTGCCGCGAGCTCGCAGAGCAGCTAGAGCGCGCGCTCTCAGGCACACCATGCGTGCCGACGCCACCGCCGCTGCCGCCACCCGAACACCGGCGAGCGGGGCCTGCGTATGCCCTCCCTCGCTTCGGAGAGGTGGGTGAGTCAACCGTGGGAAGCGGCAGTGGAGGTGGGTCCTCGCACTGAACAAAGAAGTCGCCTCTTTTTCCCACGGCAAACACAAATGCGCATTACACTGTCCTACATCACTGCATCCGCGCTGCAGCGCTGGTTGTGTCGGCGCGCGCAGTAACAATCGTGTGAACCTGACGGCTGACGCTGGCTTGGGTCCTGTGACCACGCCGGGCTCAGGTGAGAATCCTCTTGGGCTGCCGCTGGACCCCAGCTCTAGGCAGTTGGTTGTGTGAGCGGAAAGGGCAAAAGTTTGCTAACGATACCATGCACCTACTCCGCACGTCTGCTTGAGCGCTGCCTCTTCGCAGGCGCGTTCCCATCGTTTTCGGGGCTCGTTTGAGCACTTGTTGCACCGCTCGTGCAAAACAATGGTAGGAGGGCCGGGATCGTGGGGATGGGCCCTTGCGCAAAGCTGGGGATCAAAAGTAGAGCAGGGCTCTGATCCTCATTCTCTTGGGTCTTCGGGTCGGTCTGAAGCTCGGGTTCGAAATGTTGAGCAGTCATCTGAGCACATTTCGGCGGGGCAGCACCCATGAGTGAGAGACGGGCAAGGCTTGGCACAACCAAGATACGTCACTTGAGTGTGGGTTCAGCTAACTTCGTAGGACACGAGGGGCGGCGCGAGCACCTTCGCCCGCGTGCAGCAGCCCCGGCGACGAGAGATAATGTCTGGCGAGTCAACCCGAGATGCTGGGCGAGCCTTGGCGAGCAGCGTTCAGCTGTTCCCACAGCAGGCTGGAAGTACCTCGCCAGCCGTTACACACCGCCGCGAGATCGTTGCTGCCATGCTGCGCTTACGCAAGATCCCAAAGATACAAGGAATCCACCCGGCTTCTTGCGCGCTAGTCTCGCTATGCGGAGATGTGAATGAAGTGAGCCAGTGCCACGCATGAGAGAGGTCCCCTGCGCCCTGGCCTGGAAGTGTCGTGTAGAGAAGAAAAAAGATGGCGCGCGCGAGAGAGAGAGGTTGCACAATGTGTGACAGCCCCTTGGCTCTGCGTCCTTGGAGTTAGATGACATATGACAGAAACACTTGCAGAGTGTTAGCGTACATATTGGCGAGATGTGTAAGATGTTAGTGCAGCAGCCACTCGTCGAGGGGATTCTCCAGTCGGGCCTTCCTATGAGGCTGAGACCTGGTGTCGTCGGGTGTGAGGCGCATGACGCACGTTGTGACGCCATACGTAGACAGCGTTGGCTCGTCTGCCTCGAGCCTCTCGCCCGTCGTGCGGTCGTACATCTTCCAAGAGCCCCTCCCTTCTGCGGCGGCCCTCTTTGCCGCGGCAGAGTACGCCGCGGCAAACGCGTCGCAGAGGACCAGCGCGAGGTCCTTGCCCGGGCACGCGCGTGCGTGCTTCCACGCCTCGTCGCCCGGCCGGCTCGCAAAGTCCGCAAAGCCGATGATCTTCTCCGCGTACTCTGCGAGCGGGCGCAGCTTGAAGGTAAGCGAGTCGGCGCCCCAAGCCTCTGGGTCGACCTGCGCGGACATGAGGTCGAGGATGATGGTCTTGCCGCTGCGCGTGTGGTACGCGAAGCCGCCGACCGGGTTCCACCTTCGAATCGTCTCCCATACGTACTGCCGCCGCAGGGTGGGGTCCGACTCGAGGGCCAGCAGCTGCTCGCCGCCGAGGGTCTCGAGGGGCAGGTTGCGCTGCCCCCATGCGAGGTGCGGCAGCTGCACGAGCATCGGGATGACTGTCACCACGGACTTGCCGCCGGCGAAGAGGTTGGCGTCGAATACTGTCGAGGCGAGCTGTGTGAGCCGATCCTCATCGAGCGCCTCGTCCGGAAGCCTCGGGCGCAGCGCCTCGCGGTACTTTGCGATGATCTCCGCCTTGGTCTGGAGCGTCGGCTTGTAGTCGAAGATCGAGATCGGCAGGCAGCGGACGCAGCCCACCAGGCAGCTCGGAAAGGGGTCGAGGAACGCGTTTGTCGCCATGGAGGCGAACAGGCCAAAGATCTGCTTCGCTTCGTCGGCCGAGAGATTCATCCCGAGAAGGATGCGGTGGAGCTGTTGCTGCACCCACACCTGCACGTCGACGTCGGTATCAAACTCGGTCCGCCCCTCGAAGAAGGCGTCCGCCGCGTCGGCAATCTCTGCCTCCGACCAGCCCGCGGCGTTCTCCGATCCCATCAGCTGGATCATCAGCGGCCGGAGGACCTCGTGGTATGAGACTGGCGTCCCTAGCTCGATGGTCTTCCACGGCACCTCCGGCCACATGATACCGTACTGAGTGTATCCGAGGTAGCCGGGCGTGCGATTGAGCAGGCCGGCTAGCTCGTTTGTCGAGAAGTGCTGCAGCTGCGCCTTGACTAGCGCGTGCGAGTAAACGCAGGTGCCGCGGTACTCGGGGCCTGCGTACAGCCCTTGGCTGACGCCGTCGACTGTGCCTCGCGACGCATTGTACCGCCAGGGAGCGTCGGAGTTACCGTCCTCCGTTTGCGCCCGCCAGACCTGCAGGTGCGTCCACGTGTTCCACCATCGAAAGATGAAGGGACAGCAGCAGCCAAAGCACGCATAGTTGCAGCCCGACTCGCCCGGGATGGGGCCGTCATAGCCGACGATACCATCCTTGGAGGATTTCTGTACGGCAGTCCGCATAGCGCGATAGCACAGGTGGAAGCAGCGAGTCCGCGGTGCGGAGCGGCAGCTGCAGCTGCTTCGAGGCAGAGAGGATCGCAGATGATTCGATTGCGCAGGGTAGCGGACGGCCGACCTCGAGACGCAAGTTTTCTCTCTCTCTGTCAGTACTTTTACTGGGAGAAAAGGGAGGCGGGGTTGTGTTCTCTAGGCCCCTAAGGGCCCTACGCGCGGCGTGAGAGCTTGGAAGCGAGCTTTGCACGGCGATCGAGGATGGCGCGGTTCACCCCCTTCACGGAAGCGATGGAGATGCCTTCCGCGTGGTGTGACACAAATGAGAGGCGGGAGTGGGGAGGGTACGCGGTGCGGTCAACGCCCGAGCGTTGAGCCTTGCGCGCAAGGCGGTTGATCGTTGCAACTGCTGGCGGCGAGAAGCCACCGCCGAAGGTCTCGTGGAGAAGCAGGTTGAACTTGTTTCGTTTGCCGAAGATCCCGTCATGGTTAGTGGCCACGCTGTGACTTGACGTAGCCTTGGCCGGTGGTGTGGTCGAACGCCCGTTGACCACAGAACCCGCGTTGCTTGCAGCCCATGTTTGCAAGGCGGGCGCGCTCTTCGGTGTTGCCGAAGGCGAACTTGTCTCCAACGGAGCCGGGGTTGCCTCCGGGGCTCCGGTGTCGGTGCGGCCGACCCCAACGGGCAAGCCACCCCGGAGGGAGGTCCAAAGTATGTAGCTCTTACGAACATACCCGAGGGTGAACCGGTGAACTGCTTTTTGTTTCATTCGTGCACACGCAGGGTAGAAGTAAAACACCATCGATGGCCAAGCTAGGGCTGGGTCGAGAACAGAGGGAGCGCTAGCAACGCCTACGCCGACGCCGCGGCGACGGCATACATGGGGGCCAGCGAGATTGAGGATGCCACAGCGGTCATTCGGGGAGCGGCGAGGACACGCCCGTGCCTATTTTCATATATGAACTTAAAATAGTATTGGCTAGTCTAATCCTACTCATCACAACTCGCCAGGAACACCCCCACCCTATAGGGTCATTGTGTAGCCCTGCTTAGAAGGAAAAGGCTTACTGCAAGGTCCGTGTGTGTATGGCTCACTATCACACGTCTCTCACGTGTAGTCGGCCTGACAGCTGTACACGTGTTAAAAAACGATAAAGCCGTAACTGCTCGAGACCGTACACACTCCGTCTCTCCGTACGGTAGCGGGTAGCGCGCGCTGCGCGCCGACGTCGTACACCTCCCCGGTACTAAAGGCTAGTGCCATTTCACTGTGGTTTTCGCGCGTCCCCACGATGGCTGCCCTTGGCGGCCGCCACCGTGGGAGCCGACCTGGAGGCCCTCAGCGGCTGCAGCCGCCCGCGGCCGCTGCCGAAGGCACCGGTCACACGGACTCCAGCTCGGTACACGCGCTGCCGGCCGGTGGGGAGTTTGTCTCTTCCTATCTCTCTTAAAGAAAGAAAGAAAATAAATTCAAGGGAGGGACCTATCTAAAGAAAGAAACAAAGAAAACAAGAAACAAAGAAAACCGCCAGCCCAAGGGAGGGATGGGAGGACGAACCTAGCTCCGTGGAATTCTTTGCTGGGTGTACCTGTGTTAGTGCCAGTGCGCGCCAGTCCCGTGCCCAAAGAAAGAAAACAGACAACCCAAGGGAGGGATGGGAGGACGGTGCCCAGTTTTGTTCGAGGCGCGAGCACAATTTTCTTTGCCGGCGCCCGGCGCGCTTGCCGCTCAGCCTCTACTGCTGCACATTAGCAAGTTTTGAGTGCTGCATTTCCGTCATGAAGACGATGCTGCCCAGCGTAGTCGCCATCGCGCTTCTGCCGCCGCGATCGCATCAGTGGCGCAGTGTCGCATCGGTGGCGGCGTCGCGATCGGGCACCCTGCAATGTGCAGAGGAGGCGCGAATCGCCGAGGCGGCTAGCCCAGTCGTTGCCCGCCCGAGCATCACGGGCGCGGAGTACTCGCGCGGCCTCGCCACCGTCAGCTTTGTCACCCTTCTCTTTGCCTCCAACTCACCGGTGCTCCGCTCCGCCTTCACCTCGGTCGAGCACGTGCCGCCGCCTCTGCTCGTCAATGCCGTCGCGAGTGGGACGGCGCTCAGCGGCCTGATCGTGGGTGCGCCGCTGCTGCGGGGCGTGCCGGCACCCGCGTCGATCGAGGCGAGTGCGACGAGCGAGTTGAACAGGGAGTCGCTACGCGCCGGGGCGGAGCTCGGCCTCGTCAAGTGCGTCGGCACGAGCTTCAACCTGTACGGCCTGTCGCTCACCTCCGCCGACCACGGCGCGTTCCTGATACAGCTCACGACCCTCCTCGTCCCGGTCGCGCAAGCCGTCCAGGGCGTCCCCATACCGCCGCGGATTTGGGCCGCCGTCGGCACCGCGCTGGTCGGCCTGGCTATCTTCACGGCCGACCCCTCCGACGCGGCCGCCTCCCTCTCTGGCGACGCCTCGTGCGTCGCGGCCGCGCTCTGCTACGCGCTGTACGACCTCCGCCTCTTTGTGTGGGGCAAGCGCGTCACTCCTCTTCGACTGATCCAAAACAAGGTGGCGGCGCAGGCGGCGCTGGCGGTGACGGCGGTGCCGCTGCTGGCATATGCGGACGCGCGCCAGTTTGTCGAGAGCGTCACGCCGAGCGATCTGGTGGCTCTCGCGCCCCTCGTGCTCTGGAGCGGCATCGTCGTCAACGGCGTGGCGCCCTTCCTGCAGGTGGGCGGCCAGCAGGCGGTCGGGCCGGCGAGAGCGCAGGTCGTGTACGCGTCTGGCCCTCTGTGGGCGGCCCTCCTCTCGCTTGCCGTGCTGGGCGAGACCATCGGGCCGCAGGGCCTGCTCGGAGGCGCCGCGTTCCTGGCCGCGGTGCTCCTCGCCGCGGGCACGCCCGCTCCCGACCCGGCGTGCGAGGAGGAGGTGTGTGAGGTGTGATGAGATTGCGATTGAGTGTGTGGTTTCCGGTTCCCTCGCTCTGTGGTACAGGTTGCAGTAAACTTATTTCTCGCAGCCGTAGAGTACACACACCTGTGAGAGGGCGGTGTCGGCGTGTGTTCGCGCTGCGCAGCTAGCCGGGTAGGCCGGTCGGACCCGATTTTATTAAATTTTCAAGTTTAAGCGCAGACCTCAAGACTTGAACGCAAGCATGTTCAGGCCATCTAGAGTGCCGAACAACATCGCACCGGTTCGGTTCGCGCATCACGGCCGCGCAAACTGGCTGCACTGCGGCGCGAGGCTCAGCGGGGCGTCCGGACCACTGACTCGGGCGATGTGGTGGTCGAGCGCAGCCTTCTTGAGCTGGAGAGCCGCCGCAGTATGCGCGGTGGATGGGACGTCGGCCAAACCGCGACGCGCAAGCTGCAGGGAGGAGCTACAGCGGCTCCGCTCCTCATGCTGGTTCGCCAAACCGAGACGTTGAGGTCCTCGTACACTCATGTCGCGCCTCGAGTAAGAGCCATCACGCTGCCCAGCGCTGGACCGTCGTAAGGTCCGGCCTTAGGCCAGCTCGCAGCACTGTATGAACTCACGCTGGCGAGCACCATCCCAGGATGAGGCCTTCAAGAGCGCGCGCCAGGGACGTCCGTATGGCAAAATCGGCGTGAATTCGCTATGAAAACGCTTCCAACCCATCAAGAGCGGGCTCAGAAGAGACGATACTAACCCAGGATCACCAGGGCACCTTAGGGTATCGAAATTTCCACCCCCCCACCCCCTCCCGCTCCCCCGGCCCGCGCCTCTCCCCCTAACTAACACACCCCGCACCGGGGACCCCCTCACCAGGCTCTCTCCCCCCGCCTCGCCGCTCTCGCCGTGCACGCCGACTTCTGGCGACTGTCCTGGTCAGCGGCCCTTGCCAGGACGGTCCGAGCGCCCCGCTCGCTCCGGTGAGCGAGCACTACAGTACCACACCGCCCCTGCACCGCCTGTAGCGGCACCCGCACCAGCCCCCCCCGCCCCGCCTCTCCAACGTCTCACTCGCCGCCCTGCTCGCTGCCGCCCCGCCCGTTTTTTTTGTTACTACTCTGCCGCTCCGCAGCCTTTTCCTCCCCCCCGCCCGTAGCGCCCTCCGTGCCGACGCAGCCTAGAGACAACAGAGCTGGG